TACTGAATAAGTGTCCCACCTGGGAACCCCATAAGCGCCAGAGGAATGAAACGCAGTCAACATCCCAAAATTGCAAGAAGAGAGCAGCTGAATAGTTTTTGAGATACTTCTCTAGAAAAAGGATCGGGTGCTCCATCACTGTCTCCACCGTCACGAGAAGATTTGGTCATCTAACGTCGTAGTAGCTGTAAAAGTCCTTCAGAAATTCCTTCAGCCTGAAGCACTCACGTAATTTCAAGGTTGAGTCACTTGCGCAGGGATTACTGCGGGCTGTCACTCCAGGAACCCGTACGTGATCCCAGACCATCAGTACAGCCAATGGAACCACTGTGTTCAATCATCTCTCGAGTAAACGTTCGGGAAGGTAAATTACCCCGTGCTTCCGCGCGGGTTTCAGGGATACGCTTCTGTGAGTGGGATGTTTTTTGCCCTCTTTTCCCATCTCCTGTGAGCGTATCGTGTTTGTTTACTGTATCTCATCCATTTTCAGAATACAACCGAGGTCGTCTGGGGTAACTTTACGTCAAACGAAGTGCTGGCATTATTGGATTTTGCGGCGGAAGAAATCGTGAGTAATTTTGTTTTCCTTTGTGTATCTTAACATAGCCGTGTTAAGTTCTCGATTATACTCGTCAACAGAGCCCATCAATGTAATGTGGGAAATGTTTTGATAAATTGACCCTCCTCCTCTTAGCGGGGGCTTACTTCTCCTTCCAGCGGACGTAGGGGATCTTACAATGGCGATGCGCGCCTCAATGTTTGGTGCAACACTTATTGCTGAAAAGGCAAAAAAAAACTGATAGCAACAAGTCGTTGCCAACGCTCTGTTGAAGTCGCTGTCTCCTACCAGCGGAACTGGCCTGTGGAGCGGGTACCAAGCCTTTCGTTTGAACCGGGTGTGGTATTGGAGGGGTTCGGGCTAAAAATAAGACTACCTGGAGATACAGTTCAGGCCAAATGTATGTGATTACCGCGTTCAGAGCGTGTAGAGTCGGATTGTACAGGGAAGAATCTTTGGGCTAGTGCATCATAAGGAAAACTTGCGATTATAACGTGGGTTGAATTTCGAGGAGTGGGGCAGTGAAGGGTGAACAATGCCGTAACTTTTTCTGCTGGTGCCGATGTTATGTGTTTAAGCATGTTTTCATTATGTTAGCGCAGCCACCCCCCGGTAACCCTGTGCTTTGGACTGAAACCCTCCTGAGGCGAAGTTTTTGCGATAACTCGGGCCATTTCTTCATGAAGTTAATAGCCGATATGTTTGAAGCGTTGCCGGCTGCTTGCCAAGGGATTTCGCCTTACAAGCCAAATCCGTTCGATTTAATGGCCCTCCATTGATAAACTTTGAACCCTTTTCTCGAATTCCTTGCCTTCGGGAAATCATGAAGACAACATGTACTTTTCGACCCTCTTGAGGGACATACTTCTTCAGTGCGAGCCGTGAATGGGTTCCGCAAGCGCAGTAGCCGCCACCACATTCTCACAAAAGTGAACAGGACGGGGCTGGAGGGCGAGATACCAGTGAATTGTTATTTGGAACTCGACTGCGCGATCTCAATTGAGTAGAACATGAACGCAAAATGGCGGATTCCCTAGTGAACCACGAGCAGTCAGAGGTAAGGAACGACAAGAGCTGAGGGGCGGCAGCGGAAGTTAGCTTGTTTTGGCTGTGTGTTTACGCGTGTGGCACTCGCCTGTGTGCAGTACGGGTGGGGAGTATGAAGAGCGGCACTCGATTTGCTGGTGCCCTGTCCGAGCACACATTCGTGCAAGTGTTGAGCTGAAGAAAGTGTCACCCTACCTGCAAGCTGCGGACTCCGTTCACCTCACTCATATGGCAAAGACCGCGTCGAAAGTAGAGTGCCCTATCACGCCCATTCAACCCCAATATATGTAATTCGAGCTTCGGTTCTGTTTGCTTTTGTAATTTTTGTAAGCTTGATTTGCTTTGTAACGTTGGCGTCTGGCCGCGAAGGTACTGGTTCAACCTGAAGAAACGACTTGGAGTGTTGGGTCAAGTTCGGGATGGGTAGAGCGATGGGAACGAAAGATAAAAAAGCACACTTAGCGGGGCACTCGCTGAACTTGGGGTTCCTTAGAGAAATGTTCATGATTGGCTTCCGGAGCAGCCTGAAGATGGGGAAAAGTTTAGTAAGGTTAGCAAGCAGTTGCCCACACTACCTGTGGAACAACCCGCGAAATGGGAGGGCACTTAAGGTTGGCGCCGGTGGCTTCCCGGTAAAACTGTAATCGCTGTTCGCAAGCAGTGTTTAGAAAGTTGCAAAAAAGCTCAGTGCAAAATGTTAAATATCAGGCGAGTGTGGACAGTGCTCAAAGTTGTGTTGGAGACCACCCACGGTGTCTTCGAGAAAGTTTTGTTACCTCGGTTTCCAGAAACACTCCGAAAGTGGGAAAAAAGCGTTCGGGGTCAGTGGAAGAGCTGCGCCGACTTGAGCGGGTTTGCGGAGGCCACCAACATAGTGGCGGGCCTGCTCCGCAGGTGGGCATGCCCAGACAAAAATTCATGGAAAACCGGGTCCCAGCTGCACTTCAAAGACCAGGCACAGTTGAGTTCGGTCGCCGCTTGAGTTAATGTGGGAGCATAAATGTTGCGGACGGGGCCAGCCCGAGGTGGGCTGTGCCAGACAAAAAATCTGCAAAACGGTTCCAGAGCAGTACACCGTCAACATGAAGCAGAGATGTGCAGGACCTCAACTGTTGGATATATGGCAAGAGTAGAGTGTGACTGTGGTGTGTTGTAACCCGCTCCCAGTAAGGCGGAGCGCACGATACGTACTTATTTCTGAGTTTCAGCGCGTATTCTGCCATACCTTAACCACCGGTCGTCATAGTATATTAGGATTCCAGTCGGCTCGGCGGCTGATGCCAGCGCTCCTCCTCCTGTGATACGGCCGGACGGGCACGGCTTCGCCACACATTCCTTCCCCAGCTATTCTCTCGCCTATGCCCATCATCGACGCACTTTAGTTACCACTCCCATCGCCTCAGTAATATGTCAAAATAGCAGAGATGATGTATTTGTCGAGAAGCTTCAACCATGAGTACAGAACAAAAGCCTGATATCAGTTGAGTCTAGAAATATGTGAAAGAAGGTACGCGCGGCGAAGCGCGCCCGCCCGGCGCAGCCGGGCCGTATCAAAAGGAAGGCCGTCGTCAGCGGCCGAGACCGACTGGTATAAAATAAGTGCTTCTACTTGTCATTGATAGCTGCCTGTTGTAATGCACCAGTTCGCGTTCAAATTTACCAACAAGAATGCTGATGTTTCGTTCACTGGTTGGAAAACATTCCGCACCGACTTATATCATTGACTATAAGGTCTGAAAAGAAAAACTTCCTCTCATGTGATTGCTTTTTGTTTTTCTATGACATACATCGAGATAATGCATATTTAAAGATATCTTGGCATCTCAGACACTGCCGTGCGCCGTAGACTAGTAGTGGACATGCGAACGTAGTAGGTGAAGGGATGTAAGATACATAATGAGTACCAAGTGCCAGTCCAACAAGAATAGAAGTGCTCAATTGACCTTATTTCTACATTCAGGTTCGGCATCCAAAACTATTCACAAGCTCCTCGTTGCAAATATTCTGAGAAACTTTATCTGCACAGATACTAGTCCAAACAGTAGGATTCTGTGCGCAGTGGATGGTTTCGAGAAGTTTGTGAAAAACCGGCTTGAATATGTGGCGACACCAAATGTGGCCACACAAGAGGCTGAAGATCACTTCCTGACGAATGGAATCCGTGTCCGCATGTCTGGTTTTTATTGAAGGGAGTAGCCTGAAGAGAAGGGTATGCCCTGATTTCTATGTAGCTGGGCTTCCGTCGCCCTTATCTTCCTTGTTTTTTGTCTCGTTTGCATCTGGTGCTTTCTTCGACGGCCACCTCACTACGTGCATTGCTTGCAGTTCCGTCTTTGTTCTCATAAAGTTTCCCATGTTAAGGCTTTCAATGCGACTTCCTTCACTCCCATTACGTCTTTGAGCTCTACTAGTAGAAGCCATCACACGTTGAAGAATACTGCTGTTCTGCTTTCAGCTGTTCCGCTTCCTTCTTCGTCCCGGGTTGAAACAGCACTGCAAATGTAGTCTCTCCACCCTAAATGAAAAGCTAAAGCTACTGTCAGAAGAAGAATCGTTAGGTTCTTACGTTGACAAAATGACCTCTGAGGGCAACTCGGAGACCCAATGTCGTCATCGTTGCCCTATGTGCCGCTAGTGTAAACTGCATACACTTCTTAAGATCAGTTCCAGTAGCATCAGAAGGCTCCGCCCTTCTGTGAACAGTCCGCATCAGCCGCTCGACATGCTGACTGAAATCATCTTCATCTATGTTGGTTATAGAATCTGCAGGTGAGCGAGACTGTGGAACACTTCGATTTTCCACCTTCACCGCGATCACGTCCACTCTTTCTGAAAAAATCTATCCGGAAAACTAGTTTAGGACGACCGCTGCCATAATCAGAGCGATTTTCATTTACTGGATAGCGCCATTGTTCTACAAGCCAAATCTCGCTCAGTACGTGGATCGGTGGACAGGTGACTTGTTTCACTTTAGGTCTCGAATATCTAAAAAATGAGAAAGCAGAAGGGGAGATGATGATGGTGCTGT